TTCAAACCTCATGCCCTTTCAGCTAAACAGCCAAGTCACCCACCCGATACTACCGATGAATCAACCATATCCTGCAACTCCAGACCAGATTCCTTGGGCAATCAATAGTGATTCCTCGCTTCCAACTACGTGCCACGGTTATAGCTCTTCATCGGAACAGAATCAGGTATCCACAACTTTACAATCAGGAATCGGAGTACCTGTAGCCTATGGCTATTGAATATATTTTCAAGCTTCTTGGTCTTTAAGTAAAAATAGCCACATATCTATAACAACATCCTCAGAGTCCGTCAGCAGTGTCCAGCCCTTTGGAACAAAGCAGGCATCCCCAGGTCCCCACGTAAACTCTTGACCATCCACGGCGCCTATCTTATCCAGCACCGTAACTATGCTATCATTCTCGCCGCGTGGCAACTGGATCACGACCATTATTTCCCATTTGTCATTTTGAAGAGGCTCGTTTTTTGGTAGCGATATAGTAGTTTTTTGAACGTCTCTGAAGTTTGGATTACGTTCTCGGAGTTTTCTGAACTTTGCTACTTGTTAGTAGGAACTGCTGGTGAGCGCGCTTAGTACACTAACAACTGCTGTTATGAGAGAGCGATATAGCTCCTCACTAGACGTAGAAAAGGGGAAAGGACTATTGCCGGTAAGATTCCTCCTTGCTTCTCTCGCCAGCTCGCGCTGCCCAGCTGACAAAGCAATTATGTCGTAGGTCGCCATGTTAAAACCATGCCGGGGGGTTAAGCTGTGATGGTGGCGCGTGTTTGTCTGCAGGTCTTGTGCCTGACCCCGCCGGAATAACGAAGTGCCGAGGAGCTGGCGCCGACTTGCGTGTGACGTCAGACCCAGTCATTACGACAGTCAGCATTAGAGGGAGTTTCCGTGTCAGCTAGGGTGGACGATGCTCTTATATCCATATAAAACTTTGCATCCCAAGCTTGACTCATACTCCGTTAGGCGCGTCACTTTAACTAGTGTGCTAGCGTGACTTAGAAAAGTGGTAGTAGTTAGGCAGCTTAGGCTGTAGATTGTTCCGACCAGGATACGCTTTCTGCCGATATCGCGCTCGGTTTATCTTAGATTAAATGAATACGTGTTTGAGCCTGCGGAAAAGGTAGAATCAAAGCGCTAAAAAATAGAGGAGGCTATGCTGTGGCAGCCTGCAGATCTGCCCAGCACGAAGCCATGCAATGTCATGATATCTATTTATCAATACAAAACAGCTGCCGGGCGTGGGGAGTTCAGTTTCGCTATGAAGAACTTGCTGCTATCCGTAGCTGCTTCATTTGATGAAACGGTCTTGAACGATCAGCCATGAACAGTCTCCTGCAGTAAAATCACTACATGCAAGCCTCCGTTGTGATCGCTCAGTTATGCCAGCCCTGCCTCCCTATCTCTGCAATGCGTCGGGCTGGCCTGCCAGTATTCGATGGGCCTCTGCTAGACTGGGTCACAACATGCCATTGAAGCTCGCTTTCGTGGCCCATAAATACGACCAATGTTCTTTAGCCTAGGGAGCCATTCACACAACGTTGTGCGGACATTCGGTTCAGATCAAACGGCGTGGTTTGCTTACTTTCTATATAAGCAAGTGCCTGTCCCCAGACACAGCTCACGTTCGCATCAACTTGCATAACTACATCTATCAGAATGCTCAATCTGTCCGTACGAGAACTTCCCGCATGTGAACACATTCAACGCGTTCTAGTCGATTTAGAGGTACCATCGTTTCATCGCACATTCAAAATTACACTAACATCAAACAGTTGACAGGGCCTAGTCGCAAAAGGTTCAGCCAAGCACTCGTGTTGATATGTTTCACAAGTACCAACGACGCGCAAAGCTTGGAGGATCTATGTGGTTACGACGAAGACGATGTAATCGGCCTAGTGAGGCAGAAAATGCGAGACTTGCAGACTGGCTCTGACGACGACACATGGAAGCACCAAGTTGCATTAATTCGATGTGTCTTGGAGCAGTCTCATGCTATGAAGAGCTACCATCAACAAGAGATTTTCGATTGCACTCGGACATTTCAGCAAAACCGGAAGACATACCTGTCTATGGTCGGTATCGGGTCTGAGGTAACCTATGTGGAGATCGCCAAGCTTGCAGGAATCATCAGACAATGCAAGTTGCTACAGAGGGAACCAAGCATGGACAATCTACAACAATTTCTGCGACCAGAGTATTTACCTATTCGCACACGCGAGAGTCTGCCATGGGAAGCGCAATGTGGCCTTTCCTATGGGGATGCTCAGAAGTTCACGGCATTTACCGCTAGCGTTGCGCGCGAGTTCAGTTGCACTTGGGACGACGATCATGAGGCCCTCTTCATCATCTTTCGACGCCTCCAAAGTACTCGACTAGGGCTTCCTGAGGACTATTTGCACCCCGTACGCAATCGTCTCCGGAACAGCATTCGAGATTGCCAAACGCCGAGCCGGCTAGTGTTGTATGTGGTTGCCTCCTTCGCTTTGAGCAAGGATGAGCTGACTCAACACTCCATACATGAGTTTCTGAATCTGCAGACCAACAATGTATCGCGTGCGACGATCAACTCCTTGGCCCGCGCGTTAGACAAGTCTATGAGGTCCTGGCCTATATGGAGAGGGCAGGCTGCGAAGTTCATGTCGGTTCTGTTGGGGGAGGCGGTTAACGTCAAGGACATGAGAAACATGTGTACCAAAGAAGGAAGCACATGCATTGACTGGGATGACTATTGGTATACAAGATTTGATGGCCAGACTAGCCATGATTCTGCAAAAGCTATTGTGTGTGATAAGTTGTATAGAAAATAAGGATACGGAACGTGCTAGTCATTAGTCCTAAGTAGACAGAGGTCCTACATGAGTTTATAATCATTCAGTCTTGGAAGGAATTCGAGAATTTAGTTCGCTTTGAATTGTCATGAAGAATAGTTATAGTTATGATTCTAGTTCCACTTATGAAAAATAAATAGAGAAGGGGTTAGAGGCTGAGAGTTACAGCTGTTCATTGCTCTTCGTATTATTATGGCTCTGATGTGACTGGGCGCGGCCGCGCGGGAAGGTATCCGGATATACTAGGGCCCAGATAACTACAGGTCTTGCCCGGACTTAAAGCAGGTAAAGGCGGCCTACTTCTTCTTTTTACCAGCTTTTCTGCAGGCAAGCTAGACCATCCATTCGATGACTGTGGCAGATGGCTTATACGGACGATTTCGGAGACGATTTGCGTGACCACGCCATGGGGTTTGTCTCCGTTCCAATTGTATTCGGTCGCATAACTAAACGTAGGAAGGTTCAACCAAGGTTTCCGTGATGCGCAACATCTGTGGAGCCGGCATATGGGCAAAAGTAATCGCCTCTGGGAAATTCAACGGATCCCCCTACGAAATGCTACAATACGTGTAGACTCCGTGTGTCTGAGCCAAGAGGTAGTAGGGGTCATTCGCGATTGGAACAGGTGGGAGTGGCCCAAGGCCGACAAAGTCGTATTGCGCGAAGCTCTGGTCAGTAACAGTGATATAGTCTCGTCCCTGATACTAATTCGACATAGATGCATTTGAGGAGGGCTATTCACGAAACAGCTAGACGCCATGATGTCTCGGTGAAAACTTGGTATTTGTCTGACGAGGAAAAGTGTTGGGAGCTCTATGTGTTCATTCGAGATCTGTCTATTTCTGAAGAACGTTATGGTGAGCTTTCGGCGGGGTTCGCTACTATCAGGCTAGGGAACGTGCCGCACTGATGGTGTATTGTTTTCAGGCACAGAGTCAAGCTCACAGACGAGGAGGAGTAGGCGTGCGGCGGTGGTAGCTAGTGACCGGTAAGCTCCCTTTCTGGTCAATTATAAAAAGAATAGATTGCCTACATCTTAGTGATTCTTCTCTCTTTACCTTTGTTTCCCTACATTATGATTTCTTGCATATTCTAGACCTTTGATTATGGCTCATCAGAACCCTCGGTATCATGATTCATTATACTCGTCCATGTTGCCATACGACGCTGGACTCGATTATGTGAGACGCATCGGCATTTTTCCTCCGCAACACATAAACCTGTTACCTTCCAGCACTGAGGCAATGACCAGAAACCCCCAAATGGACAAAGTTTTGGATCTTACGGCGTCTAAAATACGCCACCTTGGTCTCTTGCTTTCCGAAATAGTCTTTAACGATATTCAGAATGCCGTCCTAGTCGTCGACGATACTCGAAATCTCGTCCGAAATGTGCACGGTTTGGAGAAATTAGATAGAAATGTCTATATCGCTCTCCTGAGCCTCGAAGCGATCATATTGCAGCGTACTGGGTCACTCTCATATGACAAAGCCCTGGAGGAACTTGAGCATCTCATTA